TGACTTTCAGGTGATATCAAGAGGGGATGTCTGCCTCACTCAACAAGAGCAATGTCCTGTGGTCTCTTGGTAACTGCTCCTGGCCTGGCCTGACCCTGTAGGGCCCCGTGCTATGGGGGACACCATTGACAGGTCTGCCAGGTTTGGGCCTGCTCAGCAGCCGCTCCACCACATTTTACCCAGCAGCCACAATTTGTCTTGGCAAGGTGGCCCTCTGGGCCTAGCTCCAAGAAGGGCCCAGGGAGCAGCCCAGACAAACCAGCTTTCACCACAGAAGCCAAAGCTGGCAGGGCTTGTGTTGGTGCCAGTCCAGAAGTGGTCGAACCCTCCCCCACTCAATTGAAGGTGGACCCATGCTCTGGGTGAGTGGGGAGGGGGAAGACGCGTGGAGGGGGGCCAGCCTCCCAGGTGGGTGAAACACAAGAGAGGCAGCAGAAGCAGGGACCCAGGCAGAGGGCTTTCCTGATGGCACTCCATCCCAAGACAGGCCATCAGGAACTAGACTCACAGGATAGTTGCCCAGCTCTGGAGTGGCCCCTGGCCAAAATGCCAGATAGACAGCCCTTCACAACCCTGCCGTGGGGAAACTTCCCCACCTCTGCCTTCCCAGCAACTCAGCAGCTTCCCCCAGCTCAGGCATAAAGCCCTGGCAACCTAGCTTAGAGGCCACTGCATAGCCAGCGGCACATCAGGAGCAGCTTTCACTCCCAGGCTGGCAGGCAATGGGGAGGAGAGGCTTTGGAGAACCAAGATGCCAGGATGCTGGGCCCCAGGAGCAGCAGCCCTGCTACTTTACAGCATTTTTCCTTCCCCTTTTAAACACTTGGCTCCTTTTCTCTCAAGGAACAAATTAAAAATGGCCTTGTTTCTGTTACTGCCCTGCTGGGAAGCCTCTTCTACATCTTTAGAGCCATGAAGTCTCTCCCATTCTGTCTCCAGTGTGTGCGGGGTCTGTGTACTCAGAACCCTCCCACAGTCCCTGCAGCTCAGTCCCTGCAGCTCTAGACCCAGAAGCTCCCCACCCCCTTGGGGGCTGCTGCTTTGTGCTCCCCACCAAGGCTGAGGAAAGGTGGGGAGGTTTGCACACCTCCTTTGGAGAGTGGAAGCGGGGGCTCTTGGACAGACTGCCCATGAGTGGTCTTCTGGAACTCCACTAGGGTGACCCAGAGCTAAGAGTCCAGCTGGGAAGAGACAGGCTATCGAGGTAAAATGACTTAGTGAGAGATTAACTTGTGTTTGTTCTTGTGTTTTTCCCTCCCCTACTCCAAGGAGTTAGCTGAAGATTGCATGGCAGGGGAAGTACTGAGGTGGTCTGTAAATCTCTGCATTTTGTTTCCCAAAAGCCTAGCTTCTTGAGAAGTGGGGAAAATAAGGGCCAATGGGTGCCTTCTGGGAGAGTAGTGCAAAGAGAGAGGGAAAATTGGGGCATGGGGAATGGGGCTGCATGTTAACAACTGGTCTACCCTGCATAAAAAATAGACTGGAGTTTACTATTAAAACATGTAGTTAGACAGTTGATGTAATGGTTTAACATTAGACATATAATGAATGTAATTCAGCACATTAACAAAATATTAGAGAAAGTCACATGATTATCTCAATACATGCAGAAGAGCATTTCATAAAATTTGGCATCTATTCATAATTTAAATTAAAAAAAATTAAGAATAAAAGGCTATCTATAAAACCAAACATGATACTTAATGGTGAGATGTTAAAAATTTGCCTTCCATTATCAGAAACAAAACAAAGATGTCCACTAACACTACTTTTATTCAACATTTTAGTGGAGGTTTCAAACAGTGTATCTAGGCAAGAAAATGAAATAAAGATTGGAAAGGAAGAAATAAAACTGTTCTTTGCAGATGGCATAATTCTGTATTTAAGAAAATTCAAGATAATCTATGGGTAAAGTACTACTATAAGTGAGCTAAGCAAGGTTGCTGGATACAAGGTTATTGTATAAAAATCAATTGTATTTCTATATGCCCACAACAAACAGAATTGAGATTAAGAAAATGATATATTTATAATAGCATAAATAATCAAATACTGAGGAATAAATGAAAGATGTGTAAAACTTCCATACAGAGGCTTATAAAATCCTATTAAGAAAACATTTAAAAGGTCTAAATATCCATAGACTGAAATACTCAATATATCAAAGGTGTCAATTCTCCATTAGCTGACTGATAAATCTAATGCAATCCCAAAGAAAATTCAGCAAGTTTAAAAAAACTGATTACAAAATTTATATGAAAATGCTAAGGATCAAGTATAGCCAAGATAATCATGAAGAACTAAATTGGATGGCTTGCCATACTTGGATATCCAAACTTACTAATTTAATTATAATAGTTTGGTATTGGTATAAAGATAGACAAAAAGATAAATGGGTCAGAATAGAGAATCCAGAACAGACCCATACATTTATGGACACTTGTTTTATGATAAAGTTACCACAGCAGTGCAGTGAGGAAAAGATGATCATTTCAATAAATTGTGCTGAGCCAACTGGTAATCCATACACACACACACAAAAATTAAACTGATTCCTGTCTTATACTATACACAACAACCAAAATATCTTACTGATTTTGGGATAGGTAAGGATTTTTTTATAAAGGATAAACAGCATTAACCATAAAGAAAAGATTGATGTCAGATGATATTCAATTAAGAAGTTCTAGTCATCAAAAATTCCATGAGAGTGGAGAGTGGGGAGTTAGAAGTGATAGGAGGATCTGAGTCTGCAGGAGCGGTGATGTTGTCTCTCTGAAGATCCAGTAACCAAGTGTTTTATCTCCATCCTACCTCCACCCTAACTGGCCCTGTGTAAAAAATGTCTGTGGGTGGGCTGATGCTGAGAAGGATCTCTGTCACCTTACATCTAGAAACAACCTGGGCAGAGGTTCTGTCACATGGTCTCAGGAGAATTGGGACCTGCACATAAAGGAAAACTCATGCCCACTCTGAACTTATTTCAAGTACAAAAAACAACTTCCTTTTCCACAGGTTGACTGCCAGGGACCACCTCCATGGCAGACACTGTTGTGTCCCACCCACATCCTCTCATCTTTATCTCTTCAGTGGCACCTGTCTGACTTCATCTGCCAACACCTGCATTTTTTGCCTGAGAATTTTCTCTAGCTTTTGGGACCTGTTTTACCACCCATGGGCTGACTGGAAGTGCAAGAAGGCAGTGCTTCCCACCCCCGCCGCCCCCAGAAGCCCTCAACCACTGACTGATGGAAGCTGGTGTATAGACACTCCAGCTCCCTAGCTCCTCAGGTGGAAAAACCCTGAAGCGTGTTCTACACTGTCTACCCGAGTCTCCAGCAGGAAACTTGTCTCAGTTCTGCTTCTAGGGGAACCCAAACTAAGACATGTAGGAAATAAAATTATATTAGCCAGCCTGGGTTGCCATAACAAAATAAATACCATAGACGGGGTGGCTGAAACAATAGAAATTTATTTTCTCACTGTTCTGGAAGCTACAAGTACCAAGGATCAAGGTATCAGCTGATTTGGTTCCTGGTGAGGACTCTCTTCCTAGCTTGTAGACAGCCACCTGCTCAAGGTGTCCTCACATAGTGAAAAGAGAGCTCTGGGGTCTCCTCTTATAAAGACATCAGTGCTATCAGATTAGCGCACGACTCTCAGGACCTTATTTTACCTTAGTCACCTCCTTAAAGGCCCTATCTCTAAATATAGTCACATGGGGGGAAGGTTAGGGCTTCAATGTATAGATTTGGGGAGGACACAATTCAGTCCACAGCAAACACCGTAATTCATTAGCTCTGCCTGCTCTGGACCAGGGAGTGGGCAGTGTTGACTCAAATGGTGTCTTGAGGACAGTTGAGAGATTTTTGAGGACAGATATCACAACTCATTCCTATAAACCATGGCTCCTGACCCATCTCAGGAACCAAAATGTAACCACTGTCCAGTTACCACCTGTGTCCAGTATAGATTAGAGTTCTGCAGGTGCTCAACCTGGGAGGGCTCCAGGCAGTGGGAATTGCTCAGAATCTGAATGGAGCAGGGTTTGGGATGGCAGGCTTCAGGGCTCTGCAACACAGACTGGAAGCAAGGACTGAAGGGGAGACCAGGCAAGTGCTAAAATAGGGGAGGATGACCAGAAGGCTACCTGTTATGGGTCCTAGGTATTGGCCATGAACACAAGAGATGGAAGTGGCAGGACCAGCCCATCTGCTTTACCAAGTGTGTTTGTCCAGAGGGCTGCAGGGCATGGGCACATGGGTTGGGGAAGGACAGGGTTTCCACAGGTCAGAGCCAGAGAGTGCTGCCAGGAGGAGAGAGAAAAAAGCCTGAGGCTTGGGGCTGGGCACTGGGCTCCCTGGACAGTGGGGCAAAAGAGTGGCACCTAGGGTAAAGGGTCTAGGGCACATGTCTCAGGGGGAAAACAGGAGTTTATCCCAGGAGAGGGGATAAATGAGCCCAGGAATCCTGCATCTTTATTACCCTTCCTCCAAAACTCTAAGAAAGGAGCGCCAGGAGGTGGCTAGGCCTGGGGGTCAGGACTTGCTCAGATAGCAGCAACCTTGGGAGCCAAAAGCTACCCCACTGAGCCCAGGTGAAACCCTGCAGCCTCTGGTCAGGAAAGATCTTACTTCTGGGCCTGTGTACACCTAGATAATGTTTAATTTGCTCTGTTCTAGTTCCCAGCAACCCCCACCTTGGGGGATGACAATCCCTACTTTGGTCCTGACCAGACAGCTAGGAGATGGAGTCCTTAGTGGCCAGAATGTGCTCCCAGCTACAGCTCTCAGGGCTGAGCCCATGCCCTGGGTCCCCAGGCCTGTAAGCCTTCTCCCCACATCCCCCCGCAGTACCTGAAAGCAGACTTGGGCAGGGAATATTTGCTCAGTTGAACTCTGAGGCTGTTGAAAAAACCCAAGGTGCAGGAAGGCTGCCCAGGGGCATGTTTTGGAGGGGTTCATGAGAGGTGCAGAACTCCTGAGAAAAGCAGACTCACGCCAAGGAAGCAGGCAGGAGGCCGGGTGGCCACCTGCATCTGTTTATTGTTCTGTTTTCTCCAACCCCAGCAGAGCAGAATGTGAGTCCAGGGGCAGCTGGGCCTATTCCATGGTTTTGTGGGACCAGCAGTCATGGGGGGGGGCAGAATCCTTGAGACGATTGGAGGAAGGCCCACAATTCAGGAGGCCTGGCACCCCCTCTTCTGCACTGCCATGCCCGAAGCCCCCACTGGGATTCATGATGCAGCAAGCATGAGAGTGCAGGCCACAATGGGAGTGGGGCAGCCATGGGGTTAAGCGGCCGTTGGAAGCTCCATGGGAGCCTGGGCTAGCCTCCTGAGGCTGCTGGGTATCTCCCTTGCCTTAGAGAGAAGTGGGATGCTGGGCCAGTGAGATGGGCCAGACACAAATGGGACCTTCCCAGGCGACCTCTCCCTGAGCTATCCTCTTTCCCACAGTCCCCCTTTCCCATGCTCCTGTCACCCAATGCTTCAGGTCTGCACAAAGTCCATCTCTTCCACATCAATCAACCCAGAGAATAAAGTCCTGCATCCCAGCGCCTCCCTGGGATGCTCTCCTGCCAAGAGCATCATCACAGTGCTGGGGCTTCTGACCAGCTCCAAGAAAGGGAGGTGAAAGAAGCCTATGGGGCTGGGGTGGAGGGCCTTGAGCACGGGGAGGAAGTCTTCTCCCCATTCAGGCCCATGGGATGAGGTCTGTCCACAGCCCTGACCCTGTAGCTGTCTGTGCTGCCATTCAGGACCTGGGTGTGAATCCTGGAAGGACCTTCAGTCCAGGCCAGCAGGGGCCCGACTTGCAGACCTGGTTGGGAGATGGAGAGAAGGTCTTGGAGAAAGGCTGGTTTCAAGGGGACAGGAATCCACTTCTTTACACTTGTTCAGTTTGGGCCACTGCATGGGCTATGTGGCCCTGACAGTTGTCTATATGGGCCCTGGAGAGGAAGACCTGGACCCTAGGTCCCCATCCCTGCTAAGGTCTTTTGGAGAGACAGACTACTCAGGGCTGGGGAAGGAGGCAAGACTAGCCAGAGACCTACCGTAATTAGGAGTACGCCAGGCCCTGAAGCCCCCGGGCTGGAGAGTGGAACTTCTCAGAATCCTCAAAAGGCTGGTCTGTGGTAACCAAGGGGAGGGGCTATAAGCCATACGTAGCCTGGGGATCTTATCTCCCTGGCCTCTCTGGGCTGGGGACAGTATGCAGTGCATATATCACAGAGCTATCAAGAGCCTTGAAGGTAGTCAGCCACCTCTAGCCCTGGCCTGGAACCAGCATTGCAGTTAGGTGAGGCGTGCCCCTCACCTACCCTTTGCTGCCCTAGCTTCCTCAATTGAAAGATGACTCTGGGCTCCTCTTCCCCAGCCAGCCTCCTCCAGGAGGCCTAGCTCAAGGTGAGGAAGCAGATGGCCAGGTACCAGGACAGAAAAGAAGAGGCCAACCTCCAGGAGCACTGATACCCAATGTAGCAGCAGCAGCGCATTGTCCTCCCATATCTCCATGAAATTCATTACTTTCATCACCTCTTACCTCTGCCTAACCCCCTCCCATGGTTCTCTTTGTTGGCAGGAGAAATCAGTGGTCCCCTGTCCCCACCCCTCATATTTTAAGCTCTAGACACTCTTAGGTTAAGGGAAATGAGGCAAAAAATGATTGCCCTTTCAATTCATCCTAGAGCATTATCTAACAAGACCACCCGAAGAACCATCGTCCTAGGGGGTGTGGCTTCTTTTGACTTGCTAGACACTATTGGTTAGGGCTCAGGCTTTGTTACGTTGGATGTTGAGTTAGTTGGAGGAGATTGACAAATGGCAAATGACAACCATTTCACAACTGCGATGCTGAGAGACGATGTTTATCCTGCTGGGCTAAACCTTGTCCAAGGCCAGTCCCCTACCATCCAGTGAGTGACCTAGTCCCTCACAGTGGTGTGTGCTACCCTCCAGTGGATGCACAGGTCAAAAGCATGCAGTCTACGTGGGGTTCCTCCAGCTGAGTATTGGGTCTCTGCTCTGGGTTCCACTGGATGGGGGGGGGCCTTGGGATGGCCTTTAGACCTTCTCCAACTGGAATCTAATCCCCTTTCCCTTGGTCAAGTGGCCAGTTGATAGCATCCAGAGTGGTGACCACCCCAAGCTATGAGGCCCAGGGAAGTGGGGTCCCCTTGGGCCCCTACAAAGCTTGCTCTGCATCCTGCAGGAAGAACTGGTCAGCTGCTCAAGCCCAGCTGCTCTACCAGGCCACAGTGGGGCAGTGAACTGCTCACCTGGAAGCCCCTCTCCATGGGCTCTGGGGCAGGCCTGGGGTGGGGAACTGGGTGGGCGCAGCACAGGGGCAAAGGCGCTCCTCTGTTTGACAGCGGAGATCATGTTGACAGGTGAGAAGGAGAAGACGCTGGTGGTGGAGGCAGCAGCCGGGAGGGACATGGAGGAGGCAGCAGCCAGCGGGGGGCTAGAGGGCATGACTCCGGGGCGGGGCGGGGAGGGGCAGGTGCAGTAGGGAAGGCAGTGGGAGACACAACAGGGAGACAGCACCAGAGTGAGCAGTGTGGGCTGCTGACCCCAGGCCCAGATCTCACTGGGGCTATGAGGGTTCTGGGGAGATCAATACAGGACAGGGTCTGGAGGAAGGCTGGTAGCCTCGGAGGTCCTGGGCCAACACTCGCCTTTTTGGGGGCTCTGGAGACCCTTTCTCAGAGCTGGAGGTGACAGAGTCAGACTAGGTAAAAACAAAAGCAAAAACCAGAATATCCAACAAAATCAAACACTGGGAGGTGACCCCAAAGATGAAAGATCAGCAAGAGATAGAAGAGCCTAGGGTTCCTGCTGAAAACCGCTGGGAATCTGAGATGGTGAGAAATATTTAAAGGGTTCTGGAGTACCAAAGCTAGTCAAAGATTGGGGTTCATAGTGGAGCTGGGGGCAAGTGGTCAGGGATAAAGTTTGGGGGTATATGAAGGCTCCTGTTACAAGGCCTCTCTGTCCAGGACCGGAGCTCACACACAAGCACTTGAACTTCCTCCACAAATAGGCTCCTCTTACCGATCACCCCTCACCCTGGGCACTTTGTTCTGTTCCAGTTTAATGCAGGTCCTTGTCATCTCTAGTCCAGGTCCTACATCACCCTCTTCCAGCCGGTCAATTTTAAAGAAGGGTGTAGGGATCCACATCCTCAGGTTTTCCTGCCTCCAACAACCCAGCCACCCAGTGCTGTGGCTTGCTCTCCTGCACAGAGGCTTTGCCTGCCCCTCCTGCCTGCCGCTTCTTCCCCTGGGGTTATCTCTGGATCCCGCTTCTATATCCTCATCTGAACCCACTTCCCCGCCTTTCCTAAAGACCAATCAGGCTGTGATTTCAGTGTTGTTCAAGCAGTCGGCTATGGGGTGGGGGCAGGGGCTTTCTGGAAGAAACCAACAGCCTGAAAAGGCTAGCTGCCTTTGGCATCAAAGCACCCCCACCCCATTGGTACATTGCTGCCCCTGTTCCAAATGTCCTCAGCCCATGGATGGTCATCTCCTTTAAGACAATGCTCACTGCTAGCTGATGAGGCCATGAGCTCCATGGCAGGTCTGAGACAAATGTATTCTATCTCTCAAGGCCAGGTGCTCACAGCCACATTTTGTAGCTTGGGTAGGAATAGGAGTTGTGGCGTCAGTCCAGGGCTGCTGATGGCCAAAGCAGAAGATCAAGGGGCAGCCCAAACAAATAGCTCGAGACTCTCTGGCTGGGACAGTTCTGAATGTCATTCCAGGCACATACTAGTACACTCATTGAAAATGACAGCCCCTGTCATTTTCCACAAAGTTACTCTGTGCAGGAGGAGTGGATGGGGGCCTGGGTAAATATTACAATATTATGAGATGGGAGTGGCCCTCAGGCGAGTCCAAGGTGTCCTCAGCTGATTCTGGAAGTGGGGCATAAGCAGCTCTAGAATTCTCGATCCTCTGGCTGAATGGGGAGACCTCAGGTGGCCTGGCTTCTGTCCCCTGGGGCAGTGTGTTCCTCCACTGCTGATGGCATTGTGTATATAGCGAGGGAGGGAGGTTGGTGGTCCAGACTCCACCAGCTTCAAATCCGAGGGGCACCCAGAGAGAGGTTTGTAAGAGTACTGTCTCAGAACTGAAGGGAAGTGAGAGCAGTAGAGCCTGGCTTGAGCAAATGGCCAGGAGATACAGAGGCCTTACGGGGGACACCAGAGAGTCATCGCCTGTGTGGATGCTGGAATATGGGGCTTAGAGTTCCAGAAGTTGAGCCTGGGAAGGGAGGAGACTGAAACAGCCAGAAAGAACATTACCCAGGATGCAGGTCACTGGCAGGGAAGGCTAGGCAGGTGGCCAGGTATTTTGATCCTCAGCGATAGCAAACATAAGACAGGGGACAGGTGAGGAAACCACAGGAAAAGCCACAACCAGCTTCTTCTCAGGCAGCCTTCCCCATTCCTCTGGCTCAGCAGCATCCCCCAGGACTTGAGGCACAATTTCTCTTACAATTGATAGGGAGGTGCTTTGCAGCACATAATAGGTGCTTTATAAATGTCTGCTGAATAGCTAAGCTATAAGGAGCTGAAAACAGGCTGCTCTGGAACTTGGTATCTGGAAAGAGGGACTTGAGGGCAGGGGAAATTGTAAAAGCATAAATGTCTTGTTGCCCCTCCACCTAGCTTTGAACTGCCCTACCCCAAGAAACCACACAGAGAATGATTAGTGCCCATTCAGATCTGAGAACAGCCCTAGACAAGGGGTGACAATGATCCCATTTTACAGTAAATAGCTTGCTGAATGTTAGACAGCTCCTGATTTGGACACACAAACTCTGAATCCAGCTGTCTGACCACACAGAATTCGCTCGCTCTGCATGACACCCTGCGCGGGGCAGGTGGAAGCCCATTTTCTGGAGCCCTGAGTTCCCCCGGGCTTCCGGCAGGGGGCGCCAACCCTCCCGAAGTTCCGGCATAAGACAGAAAGGTGGCGCCCGCGGGTTTCCGCGGGAGGTCCCCTAGTTAAAAACCCGTTTCGGGAGGACAGGAGGGCTAGAAGCGACGTGTGCCACGGGAGTCAGCAGAGAGAGCTACAGGTGCCGGGGCGTGAAGCCCAGGGTTGGCGCTGGGGGAGGGGGCGTGAAGCCCAGGGGTGGCGCTGAGGGGCGGGCGCCCAACAACGGGGAGAGAGGTGGCGCGAGGGGGCCGGCCCGGCTTCCAGCGGCAAGGCTAGTGTCTACCCTCAAGGGACTGGTGCAGGGAGCCCCTCTCCAGGGGCCGGGAGGCGCAGGGCTGAGCCCCGCTCTGCTCCTGGGGCCCGGTCCCTCCCTCGGTCCCTCCCTCGGCGGGCAGGGGACACTCACTGGCGAAGGGTGAGGGGGCCGTGGAGCCATTGAGGAAGCTAGGGGA